GTGTAAAAAGTGAGGTAAAGACTGTTTATGGGGGATTGAGGAAAGGAAAAAGAAGAACAGGGATCAAGGCATCAGAAGATAATAATTGACATTGCATTTAAATTTTTGAAGATTGTAGTTATCAGGGAAGCAAGTAAGAGGAAAGGAGTTCACTGTTGGGAAGGGCGAGAAAAGAAACTGCTGGAGTAAAAGTGGTGGTTGCATTTAACTATTTCAACAGTAAAATAGTTGGACATAGATGACAATCTAGTATCATGATTAAATTCATGTTGCAAGGGCTTTGGGGAAAATAGAGATATGTTGCTAAACAAAATCAATCAACCAAACAACCAACATTTTCATGACATTAATCCATATAATATCCTACAATTTCTTAAAGAAATAAAACTTTATTCCAAAAGTATAACTTCAGCAAAAAAACACTATGAAACAAACACATATCACTGCCTCTAGCAATTATGCCAGCACAAACATGTGTATGCACAAAGGCTGAGTATCATCTACCATGTATTCAATTGTGAAAGCAGAATAACATTTATCATATTTTTATTACTTCAAAGCACCCAAGAAAATTAAATTTCAGCATTAAATGACCCATAAAGGTGTTGATATGCCGTTAAACAAAACAAATCAATCAATCCTCTCTAGTTTCATTATTTTTAAATTTACAATTAACACTTCTGGCAATGATTATCTGATCAGACTAGACCAATTAGGCAAGGCATTGACTATGACCTTTGACATTTATTTTTCTGCAGATCTTTCACCAAAAATTTCAGATCATAGAAGAAGAAAAGAAATAAAAGATTCTACTCACCAACTATACATGGCTACCATAGGTCACACATAATCAGGGTGGATCAATAAATATATTTGAAATAATCTGAAATTTTCACTGTATAATATTCAATGTATATTTTAATATTTTCTACTGAATTAAGTGCATTGACAAGGAAAGAGATTATGTTAAAAATAAATATTTATGAAAAAAGTAAGTGGTTTTACATCATCAGTCTGCAGAGTTAGTTTCTTGCTCTTATCAAATAAAAAACAAGAAAGCAATTTTTAATAATATTAATTCTAAACATTGTCACAATGTACTGATGTGTTAAGAAATTAAAACATTTATATTGCATAAAAAATAAACCATCACAATCCACATTATAACAAAAAAAAATATTGTAAAATAATGAAAAACAAATTAGTCAAAAGCACTCAGATCCCAACATTATTTGAACTGTTTTACAAATTCTATGTTCAAAAAAAAGAAATTTCTGAACACACACAAGTAAAGATATAATAAAAACATATTTAGCCATGTTCAATGAAACCTGTATAAAACAGGGAGTACTACCCAAATATATATAAAGAGAAGCAGCCAAAATTAAATAAGGTATCTTTTGCCATAGGAGAATTTTTTTTTTTTATTGTGATATATATATATATATATATAGAGAGAGAGAGAGAGACAGAGACAGAGACAAAGAGAGAGAGAATACAGGGCAGAGAAAAATGGATAAATAATTTCCCACATAATGGTAACACATTAGTGGCAATGGTTTCATCATCTAACTAATGTGCTACCATCCTGTAAGGAGGCATTTCTGGGACATATATGGGGAAATATTTCTGCTGCACCATGTGTATATATATATATATATTACATATGCCTATACCTGATATTGAGCACTTTTAACTCATAAATATATCCAAAAATACCTTAAAACTATATTTTCATCATATATATATATATATATATCTATATATATACATATATATATATGTATATATATATATATATATATATATATATATTTCAATTATATATATATATATATAAATTCATGAATCATTCATAAAAAAAACAAATATAGGTTAATGATTTAAATGGAATGAATACATCATTGCAATAAACAATATAAATAAGATACACCAACCCCTAACCTGTAGATGAACGATATGATCCCTGTTTACAAATTCCAGTTGCATAAGGTCTTTTTAATTTTTAAATTTTTTCATCTGTTCTTACAGAGATCCTCAGGTATGGAAATAGATTTTGTTCTTGTTTTACTTTTCGGTAATAAGAGGAAAAATGAAAATAGAGATGTAATCAAAAAAAATGCTATGAGAAATGTGTTATAATTATTTTGGAATGTGCAGTTGCAATTTGAGTTCAGGTTTGGTGTATCTTATTTATATTGTTTGCGATGATGTATTCTCGCCATTTAAATCATTAACCTCTATATTTGTTTTTTGTATGAATGATTCAAAATTTTATATATATATATATTTTCATATAATTGAAGAAATATACTCTGAAGGTGTACTATATTTATGAGATAATGTGCTCAATATTATTAGTGTGTAAATATAAAAGTAAACTTTGAATTTCAACACTTGAGGTGATAGGCTGTTTCATGCTAGATGCAGTGATTTTAGGTCTGTCGTCTAAAAAAAGTGTTAAATTCAATGTTCACTTTATATTTATATATATATATATATATATATATATATATATATATACATACATACATTTATATTTATATATATATATATATATATATATATATATATATATATTGAGGAAAAATGTATGACAAAGTGGAAAATAAATTTTTTAAAGATTTCCTCATTCATGACAGATCTTCTGTTTTCAATATAGGATACCTAATAACAAAAGTGATGGAAACAAAAGAAAAAAGGATCTAAATAAAATTAGGTAGATTATAGAAAAAAATTGAATTTAAAATTGCCAACATCTCTCATCCATTCATATATGTGTAGTTACACCAACATAAAAAAATTTGGTCTAAGGAAGTTCTTTTATGCAAAATGCCTCACACCAAAACTTTTTGAATTTGTCAAACATTTTTTTCCAAATTTTTCTTGACATACAAAAATTTATATATTGTTATCTTCTAGATTGTCTTGGTGCATAATTATCAGGCGATTTTGTTGGTGAGTTATTTCTTACTAAAATTGCTGTTTTGTTTAATTTTATTAAAAAAAAATTTCATTTTATTTTCAGGTAAAAAAAATATGTCAATAACAATACTCATTTAAAAATGTTATTGTTGAATTGTTATGTTACTCATAATAAATATTGTTTTACTACAGTTCAAAATTTTGTGACAACCCCTTGTATTTTTTAAAATTGGCCTAATATAGAAGTTGTTTTGTACTTTAAATAAGAGAAAATTATTATAATATGATCAAAAAAAGTGAGACATAATTTTTATTAGAAATTTTATTATTTTAAAAAAAAAAAAGCATTTTATGATTAAATTTTACTCTCAGCAAAATATCCTTCTTTGGCCTTGATTACTGCAGCATAAATTTTTTATTTGATGCAAAATTCTTAGTGTATAAGTTTGATAATTGATTCCATTTTTTTTCAAAAGAGCTCTTTTTAATTTTTTTCTTTTTTCATCTTTCTGTCTTCATGAAACAAATTAGTAAAATTTGGCTTCAACGTTGGGATCGCAAAACATTCTTTTAATAACGGCAAAGTGATTTAAAGATGAACTATCGATCTATAAGTAAAGTCATTTTTTTACATTTACTATGCTAGCTTATTTTAAATAATTGAACAAAATTGAATTTTGTTGGTTATTGACTGTTTCAAATTTGAAATTTGCTTACTAGAATTTTAGGTCAATTTTTTTTCTGTATTTTTTGTTAAAATCCGAAATCATTTCTGACAGACAAATTTTATTTTATTTTATTTTGTAATACAATTTGCGTGCTTGATGCCGGAGAGCACATTTTAAATTTTCTCGAATCTACATGTCGATATATGCTATACACGCTGATCAAAATAAAAAAAAAAAATCAGAACGAGGACATGTGCATTCCTTAACAGGGTAAATAAAAGCTTGTCGGACTGACACTCGCTGTAGCCGAGCGGTCTAAAGCACACCGGATCAAAAGGTTTTTTTTCTACAAACTTAGATGCGAAAAATATATTTCTTTCAATATATATTCGAATTTATTTCAAAAAAATTTCATTTTTTACTTCATATTATTTGCTGCTTCAAGTGTCATTGTTGAGAAAACCTTTTTAAAATTCAGTGAATCGGAAAGAATTTTGAGACGCTCTACTATTGAGACGATAAGCAACATTGCAGCAGACACTTTTCCGATTATAATAAAGTAAGTAAATATTGAGAAATTAAATTTTATCGTTCCTCGTCTCTTTCGACCCGTCTTTTTCGTTTTTGTTACACTCAGATTGCTTTTATAAAAAACAGTCTGAGTGGAACTTTCTTTTTACATTTGTAACACAGGGGAAATGATCTGATTCTACTCTGGTAAGCTGTATAGTGTTGTCATAGCCGTAAAGGTCTAAACTTGTGGAACAAAAGAACTAAACTCATTAGAGCATTTTGTAATGAAAGAGCGATGGACTGGCTATAGGTTTGCAATGTTACGTCTGTGGGAAATAGGTTGAAGAGTGGTGAATAAGTTTTCAACTAGAGAAACGTACAAATGATTTCTGTCAAGGCCGGAAAAGGACGGATGAGCATCTTCAGCCCAGATAGAGCAGCAATACTCCGTTTCTTTTTGTTTTTGATTTGTATAACCTCCTGACTCTTTTAAATATAAAATATGGAAGAAGAAAATAGATACTTTTCCGAACGGTAGAATAAACCGATATATGGGGAAAATCGGACAGACTATATACCGAAACACATATTTAAAAAAAAAAATCATTTCAATCTCAAATGTCAGCAACCCCTCCCCTTGATGCGCACGTCGGATCACATCAACGTAGACATCAGTGTAGTCTGAAGTTCTAAAGGACGAAATGCATCACACAAACCTTTTCCAATATGTGTTGTATGTGTGTATGTTAATATTATACTGGACAGTCAGCGGCGACAGTGTGATAGGTCTACTGCTGCTAGGGTGGCAATATATGTGGTGATCCTAAGACCTAATGGCTTCCAGGGTATGTGATCGCATGTAAATAACAGGTGGGCTTGTTGCTGTGGAAGGCTTCCGGCCATATCATGTTGAAACATTGGTTCTCGTACGATCACCTAAGTTAAACAACGTCGAGATTGGTCGGTACTTAGATGGGTGACCGCTTGGGAATATCGGGTACTGCAGACTTGTATGTGCAGGTGGTGTAATGGATAATGGCTCGGAATTGGAAATCGGAGAGCCGAGTTCTAATTCTAATCGGGCTCGTAATATTCACTTATTCGCAAATGCACCTGGGAAAGATATGAATCTACCATTTCTCTTTTCCCCCAACTATGGATTAATTAGTAGGACTTGTATCAGTAAATGATTATAATCTCTAAAATATTCTTACAATCTAAAAATATTTTCTGGTTTTGTTTACTTATTTATTTTGTTTGTGTTTTAGTTGTTGTTATTTTTTTTCTTTCTCCGAAGGCAATTATTTAAAGTAAAACTTCCCAAAAGCAATTATTAATCTCGCTAAAAACGCGTTACTGGAGTAAACCCATTAATTGAAGTTCTTGCTCCCCCCACCCATCTACGCAGCCTGTTGGCGTTCGTCAAGTTCGATTTCTTAATTATTTGTTTAAGAAAGCCATTAATGGGGAAAAATTTTATCAGACAGATTCCGACCTCCCGCCCGCCGATTCCAAGTGAACTTTTACGATTATTGCAACGGAATCCACCTCCATCATTGCTCACGTTTGTTTTGTTTTTTCATCATAATGAACCATCGCCCAAAATGCAAGTAGATATTAGATAGATTTTGCTTAGACTGGCAAAAGGCCACGTATTCTGGGCACTAAATGAGAATCAAATTTTTCGGATATGGTCAGTTTTCTGAAATGGAAATAAAAAGATGTATACTTAATAGAAGAAACAGACAGTTGAAATTTCTAGGGCACATTAGGAAAGAGAGCTTGGAAAATTTGACACTCACAGGACATATTGAATGAAAGAGGAACAGAAGTAAAGCCGTGCATAACCTACCTAATGAGTTTGTGTAAATGGATGGCAGAAGAGGGTTGAGAGGAAGGAGGACAAAAAGATGAAATTTTCTCCGACCTCCAAAGAACAGAAATCCTACTCAATCCCACTTTTTTTTTTTTTAGCTTTTTATTAACGATCCTCCCCGTTGAGCCTTGACAGAGTCCAAGAGAGCTTACATGGCCTCATGTGATGTTCAGACAAGTTACATAGACTCAGACCTTCACATATAGGATTTGTCACTCCATGTTCAAGGTGTCAAACCATTACCATTCTCTTCATATTCCTTTGATAAAAAGAAAGTTCCACTCAGACAGCTTCTTCCCCCAGAATTATTATTTTGTGGAACAAACTCCCGAGAGAATGCTTCCCTGCCAACTACTATCTTGGTTTCTTCAATTCCAGGATCAACTGGTGTCTATCTTATTCATTCTCATAATACTTTCTCCTTCCCCTCCTTTACAATCTCACTCAGTAACCGTCTACCTTGAGTGGTCCTTGGGCCTTGGATCGAGTGACAAAAACATTTTTAGATCATTAACAAATCTTAATGTCAGTACTACCACTTTCTATGAATGCACTTCCAAAACCCAAGATGATCAGGCACCTTACAACTGAACTCTCCTCTGAACTAGCTCTAAAAGCACAGTATGGAAATAATTGTCATTTAACTTTCAATCTCACAAAAACCAGGCAAGTATCCTTTCATCATCACCAACCAAATACCTGATGAATGGTGACAGGCTCCATACCTAGAATATCTATATTTTTAATTTAGCTCCCTTTTTATATAATATGTTACAGGTTTTGCACTAGGTTAAGCCAGTGCTGCTTCCAAAAACTGTTTGGATGATGTTCTCATATGTTAAATGCAGTGAATTCATTCAACAGGTTAGAATTAAAATAAGGCATTATAATTTGGCAACCTGAGTGATAATTTACTTGAACTGATTAAATTTTCACCATTTAATAATCTCAGTTCATTGGAAATTAAAATTTATTCTCAGAAAGTACAATAGTTTGTCCAAAAGAAATGCCAATTCTAATTTTAAATGTATCAGTCATAATTCCTTTCAGCGTTTCAGCTATTGTTCAAAAAATAATGTCCAGTTTTAGAAGAAACCTTTTGTGTTCTAATATATTATTATAATAGGTACAAAAAATATATTACTCACTCCTAATGATTAAAGTCTCCTCTTTGCTAATTTTATATCAATCTCTTTCAAAATTTGTAACTTAAAACATTATATATCCCTCATCTTGAACAGGAACAAAGAAGTGGTGTGTTTACATTTTTGCCTGAGTTCAAGTTTAGTCATAATGCTTCTCAAATTGCTGTGACCATTAACAGAACATGAGATGAAGGATCCACTTGGGATCAGAGAGTAGGGTCTGGTTTCTGAAGTTCCTCAGTGGGGATAAGAGTCTTGAAGATCAAGGTAATAGGGGATCTGCATCTGCAATAGACAATCAACATCACAAAAATATATTGACATGGTGAAGAAACTTTATAAATGGTTTCTAGTTCAACTCAGTGACCATCAAAGTGTTTGACATTTTAAAGTTTGTTTGATACTGCATCAGCAAAATTCAAATGTGATATTTCTTGATTGTATAGTGACTTGTGATAAGAAATGAATCCTTTATGACAATCATAATCAACACAATATGAGAGAGAGAGAGAGAGAATGAGATAAATAGACAGTTAAAAGGGTGTGTTGAAAACTTCTCGGCTCGACGCACTTCCTAAAATTTGAGCAAATAATCAAAACATTACAATTTTCGGGGAATTCCTTCTTGACCAGATGAAGATGTTTTCAGTATCCCATATATATTTAATATATATCAGGAATGGTGCATGGGAATCTGTCCAGAATGTGCACATGAAACTCTGAGTAGAGGCCGACCACTGGAGATGGCTTTCTTATATCAAACACTGAGCACTTTATCTCCCACAAGTTCATTTTTGACTCTTTAGTGCCTATTTTTACTTATTAATGTAAACAGTTCCAATTTGGATTTATCCAAGCTTTAAAGTGCTTTTTATGGATGAGAGCTTACTTTTGGATATTTCACCTTACTTTTGCTTTTTCTGATATTAGGTCTATGATTGTCAACTAGCAGGCATTGAATACTCATTACAGTGAGTTCAGTCAATATGCTGACTGCCCAAAATTTTATGTTTGAGGTTTGCCTTGGTGGATATGTAAAGATGTCATTGCGGTATATAGCATTGATTAGCTGATGACTGTAAAAAAAATGTGCACATTAAACTCTGAGTAAAGGTTGGCCATTAGAAATAACTTTTCTATAAATAATATTATTTGGTCTGCTATCAAACACTGAGCACATTGTCTTCTCAAAGTCTTTTTTACTATTTATTGGGTACTTGACTAATTATTAAAGTAAATATATATAAGTGGACACTTAGGTCAACACCAAGCAGAAATGGTGTTTCATAATTGAATGTAATCTTCGGGCCTGAAGATTGTGTTCAAGCACAAAACACGCAGTCACTGCTCAGTGTTGATCTCGATGTTCTCTCTCATATTTACATATGCTGTATCCCTGAAATTGATCACTTTTACCTATAAAGTATACCACACTTTAAGACGATATTTTTATCATATATATATATATATATATATATATATAAAACAACTGTAGTTAGAAGCTACAACAAAAAGACACAAAATACCAGGAATTTCAAAGCTAATGTGCAGCAAGATATCATGAATAGTAAAACATGTAACTGAAGAGATGAAGGTAAATGTCATCTAGATGGAGATTGCAAAATGGAATGTGTGATTTACAAAGTAAAAGATATAAATGGGCAGAGGAAAATATACTTGGGCGGGTGTACTGAAGGCAGCTTCAAGAAGAGATGGTATAATCACAAGTCGTCATTCAAGGTAGAAAGCCTTAGGAATTGTACCAGAATAACCAACCATGTGTGGGAATTAAAAGAAACCCTAACCAAGATTCAATTGTAAACTGGAAAATATTAAGAAGTCCCAAACCTTATAGCAATCATAGTGATATCTGCAAACTGTGCCAGGAGGAAAAGTTACCAATAAGATTTCCAGACAAAAAAGAATCTACTGAATGAAAGATCTGAAATAATGCCACAATGCATATATATTAAAAACTACTTTTTAAGTTTATATAAACCAGGATGAAAGTATGTACATTTTATTTACTAACCCTCTAATACAATTTCAATACTCTTATTTTACTCCCCCCCTTTCTATTACACTTCATGTTGTGCCTTTATATATAAATAATAAAGTGTTAAGAAATTATTTGAGCTATAATGCCTGAGGATAGTCAAAGGTTGAAAGCAAGGTAACATGATTAGCTGATCTCCTAATTTTTAAAAATTTAAAAAAAAAATATATATATATATATATATATATAGCAACTCCTTTATATTTCCATTACATCTTTCTTCTTTTATCTTGTGTCCAGCAAGTTGGTCACATCTGCTTAATGTTCTTTGGTGTTCAGATGAAAAGAAATTTTAAAGCAGCAAGGACAAGAAATTATAAAATGCCAGTTATTGGTGGGTGTGAAAAACAGTATGGTTAGCCAGGATCACGATAACAATTCCATAAAACGTCAATTGCCAATCAAAGACTAAGAGAAGCTAAAAATGTTAAGAGAAAAAAGAGTGAAATGAGGATGACAGAGCATGGAAGAAATTGGACTAAAAAAAAAATGGAAGTAAAAAGATAAGTTATTCAGGTGAAATGGTAGGGTGGGACTAAAAAAGAACATTTAAAAAAAGAAATCAACTTTGAATTGGCATAAAGGTTCATTTATGGGCTACCCACTGTTGATGGACCTTTTATTAAAGGTGGGCAATTATAGAAATAAACCACTTTTGGTGGAAGGCAACATTTATGGAGTATTTAGTGAGAATAAACCTCAGTCATGTGGCCTGTGTGACTTGTACATGAAATACTGGGCCATGGAAAAAAAAAACAAAATGATCAGAAGCAAGAAAATAATGGGTGGGGTTTAAAATGTGATAGGAAGTGAAAGAAAAAAAAATCAAAAGAAAATAGAAAAGTGTAGGAGTGTGAGGGAGACAAAGAGGGAAATATATGACAGGAAGGATAGGTTTTAAGAAAGTATGACTTGAGCAGTGTCAAGTGAAGTCAGAAGTGGATATGGAAAGACGGTGCAAGGGTAAAGAGTAGTGGGAGCAGTAAGGTGGCTAAGTCGTGTAAAGAGGGAGTAGAGGTAAAAAGAGCAGGAGTAATAAGGAAGATGTCAACAAGAGGGAAGTGTAAAGGACAGCAGGAGTGATAAGGAAATGAGGCCAGAAAGAGGGAAGGAGGAGAGTGGATCAATAAAGAAGAGAGCTTGTGGAAGAAAGGTTAAGAGGTGAAGGATAGCGGGATAATTTCGGAAGGGAAGTCAGTGTTGCAGGGGTTGAAAAGAGAGTGAAAGAATAGAGGACAATGGACAAGAGGTCGGCAGTGGTGTGGAAGGAAAACAAAGGATGTAAAGGACAGTTGAATCAATGAGGAAGTCCAGCATGGGTTATGGAAGGAGCACTTAGTCAAAAAGGACAGAGGGAGCATTTAGGAAGGGAAGCCAGTAGGAATCATGGCAAGAGTGAAAAGGAGTAAGGAACAATACAAGGAATAGATGCTGACAGGGGAATGGAAGGAGAGCAAAAGAGTAGAGACAGTGGGAGTAATAAAGAAGGGGAGGAGGCCAGCAGAAGTTGTGTAAAGAGAGCTTTGGAAGAAAAGGACAGTAGGAGCATTTAGCAAGTTAAGGATGGCAGGGAGGATGAAATGAAAGTAAAGTAGGAGTAATAATGAAGACAGTCTGGAAGGGGTTGAGGGAAGAGGAGTAAAGGTCAGTGGAAGCAATAAGAGAGAGAGAGTCTAGCCTTGACTTTAAAGTGAAGAGGAGAAGGACATTGGGTGCAATAAGGAAGAATGGACATCAGTTGGGTGTGTAAAAAGTGAGAAGCAGGTAAGGTTGGTGAGAACAATAACAAAAATAGGTAAGGAGAGAATGTAGAAAAAGAAGTAAAAAGGAAAGAAGAAAAGAAAAGGAGAAAGGATGAAGAAAAGGATCAAGGCACGAATGAGAGAAAAAAAAGGAAAACAAAGTTAAAACTGCATTCTTTCGTAAAACGAGATCAAAGGAAAATATACAAACAATAATCAATAAAAGGAAACGGAAAAAAAGCAATATTTTTTTAAAATAAAAAATGACTTTGACAAAATTAAATATAAAATAAGGAAGACCCTATACCATGAAACATTGATTAACAACATCATCTGTAAATCATTACTCTTGGAATGAGTTCTGTCCTTAAACAGTACCTCTTTGCTCTGTCCTTGCAGCAGACTATGTAAACTTAGCTCTACTCAGATAGAACAAAGTTTGTACATGCTTGTCTCAAAGACTACTATTATAGAAGTGAGTTCAGTATATCCTCCAGGTGTGGGCTTTACCTGATGTAAGCTATGTTTGGTATCAATAAGCAAATAGTCTTGTCATGGAACAAGGGTCTGCACCACCTGTCTTATGGGCAATTGCTTTTGATCTTCACTGTGTTCAAAAGATGATAACTTATGCTGCGTTAATTTGTTGGTGGGATCAAAAAACACCAACTGCATTCCCTACAGAGGATTGAGACCTCCTCCCCCCACAAAAAAAATCGTTTCGCCTTTTAGGCTGATGCTTGAAAACTGTAGTATAAGTCTTACCAATATTTATCTGTGAATTCAGGTGTAGGCTAAACCAATCTTAACCTATTAAGAATTGTGTTGACATGTAGACTCAAGTATAGTCTCAACCAGCTATTGACTCAGATATAAACTCAACCAATGTTTACCTACAGTTCCAAGTATAAAGCTCACTCCTATTTATCTATATGGTCAAGTATTTACCTGCCTAATGTTGACCTACAGAGTGAAGTATAACAAAAACATATTTTGACATGAAATGACCCAACATGAGTGATTATGTTGTAAAATCAACCCACTCATTACAATCTTTTCATCAAAAGAGTAATAAATTTCCTGCAGGTGCCAAGTGCTTCTAAAACCAGGATTTTTTACAAACTTTGGTCTTCTGCAGATTTTCTATGCCACATGCCTTTAGATAATTCTTCAGATTTTTCTTATCTTCTCCATGATTGCCACCCAGTAGAGTCTAGTGTACTCTGCTATTCAACCTAAAGCTGAGAAGAGATGGATTCATGCCCTTTCAAAAGACTAGCCCATAATTTGAATTTTGAATGCTGATTTCATTTTATGTGCTGATATTGACTACTCTCTCCATAAAGAGGTTATTGATGTCCAGTATTAGACACAAACCCACAACATTCACATTGTTAGCATAACATTCTAACACTGATCTAAGAGATATACAAATTAAAATTCTAATGTCTCTGTTAATAGTTAGCAAGTGTGTATTCTAATCTGATGAACTACCATATTCAGTTTCATGTTGGTGTTCTAGGGCTGTAACTTTATACAAAACTCAGCTAAACTTACTAAACAGGCTACATATTTTATTATAGGGCCACAGGAAGTAATTTTATCATCATATTAGAACTGTATTGAATTTGAACTTTACTGGATGCTTTAATTCAGTGATGCTCTCCATCTTGTTGATGGGGGTCAATAACATGCAGACTTCATTTCTGTGCAGAGGATAAACCCCTACAAAAAGGGAAAATGTATCTGCCAGACTCATGTCTACCATTTTCTCTTCAGTCCAAATTTAACTTGTGTCTGTTTACTTTTAATCTGAAGCAAATTGGACATATGTCTAGCTTTTCTGACTATGTTGCAAAGCTGACCTATGTCTACCAGTTTTGACTCTTTGCAAAAAGTAGACTGTCATGGAAACTGGACCTATGTCTATCTTGCTGTTCTTTATTTAAATGACTGCATTCAGTATTAAATAAACTGGAAAATGTTGATATACTGTAAAGTAAACCAAACCAGTGATATTGTGCTTGACAAAAGAAATATTGGTCACTGGATGAAGCAAAAACCAACCTATGATTGAAGGAATTCGGATTATATAAGAATCTACTATACATGGAGAGAGCAAAAGGAAAATAGAACCAAACAAATTAATTCAGGAATGAGCATATCAAAAGAAAGATGAATGATAGAACAAAAAATATTTGGGAATAAAAGATCAAAAGTTGAAAAATCAGGAACTTGGAGAGAAAATTTTTATCTTTGTGAGTTATGTTAACAAAATCATGGGATTGATCTTGAAAAGAAAACTTAAGCGAAAGAGGTCAAATGAATTCAGTTTGAATCTTCAAAATTTAACATTAAAATATCACTTGACAGTTTTACTGTCTTTATCTCTTTCTTTGGTTTATTTTATTTATTTTCAAGATGTTTCCAAGCAAATTTTTTCATTGTTTTTTTTTAATTTAATTTTTTAATCTAATTTTAATTTTTTGATGTTCTCTCTGTGCTTAAAATATTTTTTTAAATTCTGTTATTTAATTCCTTTAATTATTTCTGTTTGTTTGCATGTATTCTATTAGTTCTTTTACAGTGCTTTATTCCTTGTTATTTTTCACCATCGCTATCATCAATATCTTAGAATTTATTCCTGACAATAGAGCTGAATGGACTTTGGTTCTTTCATTCTTCTTCTCTGATCATTTTTCACTCATTTTATTGATTTTTTTTTATTGTTATTATTATTCTGATTCTTGCCCATCAGAGAGTCAGGCATCATGATTATCTTGGTGACATTTTAAATCCTCGCTAATGTCATGAGTCTGTGTGCTTGTTCTGGGAGATTTACTCATTCTCAATGTGGTGGAAATTATTTTTCACAGAGTTGTGAAGGGCTTCTTTATTTGATTGATTTAATCCTCTGTTTCTATTTCATTTTTAATTATTCTTTTTTCATTTGTTTATTTTTTTGTTTTTAATTGTTTTGTTTTTTTGTTTCTTTGTTTTTCAGGCATTCTGGGATTTATTTATTTCATTTTTAATTTATTTTTTATTTTCTATTTATTTTGAAGATTTTTTTTTTTTTGTTTCCCTTGTCACCTTTTCCCTCTAAAAAGCACTTTGCTTCTTTCTGTTTGATTTTTATTTTTCATTTTTCTCTTTCCAATCTAACCCACCTTCATGTCCCTCATTTTATTTGTTTTTGGTTTTGTTGGTTTTTTTTGGGGTTTTTTTTGTTGTTTTTTTACACTTTTTATTTTAGATTTCTGATTGATGTAGTTTTACTACCTTACCATGTCTCTTTTCTATTTTGACCAAAACCTTCATTACGAAAATTACAAAATAATTAATGTATGCTTTAGTCTCTACTGGGACTTAATACTGGAAAGCTGGACTGGATTTTACTAACATTATCTTTGCTACCGAGACAACATTTTTATTAGTCGTAGTAGTAGTAGTAATATTTGTAGTAGCAGTAGAAGAAATTCTATGCTGATGATAGTGCTGTGTCCTTCTTTAATCCTCAGTATTTTTATGCATGGGAAACAATTTGCGTTTATGTCCTTTCTGTTTTATACACTCATATCTTAACAAGTGAGTATGTGGATGCAATTTATTCATAATTGCTTCTTTTATCAGTAGGTATTGTCAATAAAGACAGAAACCCTTTCTTTACCAATGAGTTTTGTCCTCTGAGGGACTTTATCAAGGTAAATGTAAAGATTTTATTTTACAACATGTACTTACAAACAGAAGTAAATTGGAGAGAAAATATTACATTTTCAAAATTTTATATTTAAGAATGTAAAATATTCAAGCTGTGAAAATAGATAAACTATGGAGGACATTAATTTAATGCCCAATAAACAAAAGCAACTAAATATTGTTATTGTTGGGTTTTTATAATAATATATAATGTTTCATTAAAAACGACTCACAAGGTACAGCAGTAAAGTTTTTTTATTTAATTTCTATTGTGTTCTTATAATTTTCTTCTTTTCTGGACATACATTATGTAGAAATTGTCCAAATGTTCTGTATGCCTGAATGCTTTTAGCTATTCTTTTATATATATATATATAAAAACAGAGCATTTACTTAAATATTTGTATCTATAAAAAGAATGTATAAACATAAAAATGTCTTAAAATATACATATATAAAAACTTGCCAGAAGATCACAATAGTGCTAAATAATAAGTATAACCTACCTGACACATAATTAGGTGTAGAGGAGATGGCTGCCATCAAATAATTCCTAATTACCGTAAGAAATGCCATGAAATGCAATTCTAGAGCATTGCACACCAAATGATCTCATAAGCCATTAGTTGAATTTGGAATTAGCTTCACAGATAGATATGGAACTAATTTAAGATCTCTTAAAAATAAGGAAGGATTTTCAGAATCTAATAATGTTATTACTTTTTTAATTTTTTCAATTTTTTTTTGCTTTTTTCCTTTTATAAAGAAGAAAAAAACCCTGAAGAAAATCAGTTATCAGAAAAATAAATGATATCAAAAAAAAGACTAACAACTCTTTTAATGACTATCATTACATCCTGCAGTCTATATAAAATGTTTATTTTTAATGTTTGAAGTAACTAAAGTCAAGTCACATTTGTTTTGAAGTACTGTTGAAGTGAAATCTTTTTTTTTTCATTTTTTTCACTAGTAGCATGAGTCAGGAAGATGTCTTGACTTGTCCTGAATATTTTAAATCTTAGAAGTGACAGTCTGCAAACAAAATAAGATCTTTGGTCCACAGTTTAGAAATTTGTTTCATGAGAATTAATGTAAACAAAAACAAGACTGAATTTCAAGGTGTTTTTGACTCTTCCATATTATTCAGCATAAACATGTCTATTTTTAATTGTTGTAAACTACTTAAAATTATATCTTCCATACCATTTCAGTATAAAAATTGATTAATTCTCACATTTTCAACATGGAAATGTTTATTTTTAATTGTTGAAAATGCTGAAAATTCTTCTATTCTATTTCAGTAAAAAAATACATTTTTTATGATTAAAACAACAGAAGGTGCCACTGAAGTTTTTGATGTTGATGTTTTTTTTCTGTTTTTTGTACATGTATGTCTTATGTTTTCCAGTAACATTGAGTGAGTGAAAGGTAGTCATATTTACTTGTCTTGAATATTCAAACCTTAGAAGTGACAGTCAGCATGCAAAATAAAACCTTTTGGCCAAAACTGGAAATCCTGTTTTACAGAGACATTTTTTTTAAATGCCTTTATTCATGAGGATGTAAGTGGTCATGCCTCTCCACAGATTCCTCTTTTTTTATTAATTGTGAATTACCATTAATTCTTGGAGGAAAATAGTGGAGTGCTGTCTCATTGCTTTTTCCATTGTGTTAAATTCAGTAATTTTGTTTTACCAGACAAGTTGCACCCAAAGAACGTTACCAGATTTTAAATTAATATCATAGTTTTGTAGAATTTTATGCTCTTGGACAAAACTGCCCTAAACAAAATCTGAATTTTGTTAGGGATTCAAGGTAAATGTTATCCCTGTTCTCATTCCAGTTCTAAATCATGGTTTCAAATTTGGTTGTTTTTTGTTTTTTGTTGTTTTTTTTTTTAGCACCATATCAACCACTATGGGTTATTTAATGCTGATATCTAAATATCATGCATACAATTTCATTTATTTTTTTAGACAAGAGAAAGAGAAGACAAAGCCATAGAGATGTGGTTCTACAGAGAGGATACTTTGGATGGAGCATGAGGAAGTTTTCATGAAAATGGAAATAAAAAAAGATGCTTATACTTAGAAAAAGACAATCAAAATTTCTGGAGCAAAGAGGTCGTAGAGAATTTGATACTCAAATAAAATACTTAACAAGCTTGTGTAAATGGATGGCAAAACAAGTAGTGGTATAAATAGTAAAAATCAAATATTGTTAAGAGCTACAAAGAAACTGTGGAGACCCATAATCATCCACATCTTGAAGGGACAGGGAACATTAAGAAATTCAGTGACATTATGGTGCCCATGACATGTTTTCATTGATTCATTATTTACAGCTTATCGACCCTTTGCAGGTTATTCAAAGCCAGAAAATATTTGTTTTAGATTGTAAGAATTTCTTTTTTTCTTTTAGTAGATAAAAATGATTTAGTAATACAAGTCTTACTAATTAACCATTACCTTAGAGGAGAAGAGATAGATTCATACCTTTCTCAAGGGTATTTGCATGTAAGTGAATATAATGAACATAACTGGAATTGGAACTCGGCTCTCTGATTGAAAATGCTGAGCCATTATCCATAACACCACCTGCACATCCAAACTTATAGCACATGGTATTCCCAAGCAAACACCCATCTAGATACTGACCAGTCTCAACATTGCTAAATTTAGGTGATCATATGGGAAATGATGTTTCAACATGATGTGGCTGTCAGCCTTATTTTCCAAGTTGGAAATCCAAATTCTTAGGACAGGTAGTATAAAAACTTTTACAAGGAAAACATGCTGGAAATGTCTGTGCCAAATCAATTCACCATTGAATGTTATGGCTGATGTGATCAAAGGTAAACGTGATGCTTTGTGTAATCACTTGACCAAATGGATGCACATAGCTTGGCACTAATGTCGATTTGGTCAGTGAACATGTGGTCTGCTAATATTTTTGCTTCTTCTTTTTAAGTGCCCAGTGCTTTCATATAATGGCCTTGCAAAATGTCATATCATATGAAGTGAAGAAATTAAGTTTCGCCTACACAGTCAAGAATAAGGAAACCTTGTCTATTATTCAACCCAGATGATCTGAATTAAGGAAGCAATCAGCCTTGTAAAAAGCATTCTTTTTCTCTGTTACAACTGAAAAAAAAGGCAAAGGCCGCCATCAGTCATCTTATTTTTCTTTGTGCTGAGTCCATTCTCGACTTGAGTGATCATAGCTTTCCACCACCATCACCTATCCCTTGCTGCTTTTAGCAACGTTTTCTTTTTGCCAAACCTTCTAACCCAACTTTGACATCAGGTAGGTGGCCTGCTACTTTCTCATATTCCTCTAGCTCTCAATATTTCCTGTGAGTGTTAAATTCTTTAAGCCTTCTTTCCTCATATGTCCAAGAAATTTCAGTTATCTCCTTCTGATTCTGAGTATGTGTCCTTTTTGTTCCCATTTCCTTTATAATT